ACGTTAGGGAATATAATGGATTCGACTGGAATTCGAATTCTGCTCCCCGCTTCCTCAGTCCGAGCCGCTATCCCATTAGATTATTATTTTTTAAATGTGCTACTTTATTTTTTCGAATGCTCTATATCGGAGATAGAATGTTTGCTTTGTAAATTCAAGCCTGAAGCTCAAAGATAAATAGCTATATAGATAGGTGCATATCTTTTTGTACGGACACGAAGTTGGTGGGGATATGAATGCTAAAATTGCTTGATTAAACAATACGAAACACTAAAACGCTTTAGATTTCCAGGTAGATTGCATCATTTTACAGTTGTAATAGCTAGATTCAAGTAGTTTTTCTCTCGCACTTCTCACTTGTGGAACACACTTCCTGATTCTTGATTCCCTGATGATTACAATCTTCAAAAATTTAAATGCAACGTCAATCGCTATATTATGTCTTCTTGAACCCTGTTCTTTTATTGTCCTTTATTCACTTAATCTGTTGTCTTTTCATTTTCTTTCATTCGCTGAAAAGCTCTGTCCCTTAGTGGTATTATTGCTCTTCCTGAGGTGAAATGATTAACATACACATACACGCGCACAAAGAAATTGCCTAATTACTAGGATAGATTTTAGTAGTTTGTTTGTAGGCAAAGTATTTAGAAGTACATGATATTTTTCTTTGTTATATTTTTGTAAATGTTACTGTCACCTAGAAGTGGTTTGCGATCTAAGCATTCAAGCAAATGCATTTGTACTTATCCTGAAAGTATTTTGAACTTTTTTGCTTTTATAGGAAACCTAGCAATCATACTTAGCTGGTCGATCAAAAAAAGCTTTCAATTAGAATGGAGCAAAAAAAGCATCATGTTTAGATGCAAGAGAATTTATTTTCTTCAATTGCTTGAAAGTACTTTCATTAAAAAACAATTTGAATTAATGCAGTTACTGATATAACAGAAGTAGTCTGTATTTCTTCAATCGAAGTTAACATGAAGTGGAAAAACAGGCAACATGAAGATCCACTTCAGAACGCAATTATATTGGAGTTTTTGAAATTCAGTTCGTTAGTGAGCTACCAGGGATATAAAAGAGGAGACATTTATAAAGCAATTGTTAATTGGATGAAATACCAACGAAAAATAAGAAAGAAACCAGTAAAAATCGGCATTCTTTACCATTTTTGTAAGTTTTCACTATACCGGTGACTCAGTTATCAAATTAAATGTCTGTTAAACAATAAACTTATTGTTGGTTACAATTGAGGGACGTTTCTATTAGATTACTTGAAAATTGAAGCAGGTTTTAGTTCAAAATTTGTGTTGAAGTCGAGTTTTCGTTTTTCGTGGTTCTTCGTTAAACGGAGTGGTGTAGAAATAATAAAAAAATGAGGTATTGTTGAGCTCGTCATGATGTAAGTAACCTATATACTGAATTTGAACTAAATCAGAGGAAAAAGTTGAATTTGCGATGTTTGATCTCTTTATCCATTATTGATTGTTTCAAAAATTATCGATTTTTTACGCGAAGAATCTATCTCTTATTGTGTACAAATCATGTGCCAAGTTTGGTCAAAATAGTTTGGATGGATTTCTCGTGAAAAGGAATCACACAGACAAACAAACTGACAAAAAGACACACAGAAATTCTGTTTTATATATATAGATAAACGGAGTGGCGTAGAAATAAAAATGGCATAACGTTGAGCTCGTCATGATGTAAGTAACATATATACCGAATTTGAACGAAATCGGGGGAAAAAAGCTGAATTTATCGATTTTGATCGGCTTTATAGGTCATTGATTTTTTTAAATTATGGTTTTTTTTTGCGCAAAAGCCTATCGCTGACAGTGTACGATGTATACGCCAAGTTTGGTCAAAATCAATTGGATTGATCTCGAGTGAAAAGGTATCACACAGACACACGGACATTATCTGTTTTATATATATATATATATGTTACGGATAGCTAGAATTTATTTTGCGAAGTAAGCATTCAAACAAATATATGTTCTTACACTGAATGTACTTTTAACTAATTTGCTTAATATAAAAATGGTTTAAAAAATTTATCCATTTCCACGAGCATCCTTTTCTCTTTCCAAATAGTCTTGTTGATTTATTTCCTTTCAACAAATCTTTTTCACATCTTTTGATGTTTTGTTACTCAATTTATAAATTTGAATTTCTAGTGCTTACCAAGTTAGTATGCTATGTTAAAGTCGAATATCTAATTACATATACTAGAAAATAGAATTACGCAGGCGTATTTTTTTTTTAAATTTGTCATAAAGAATTGGAAACCCAACTAACACTGAAAGAAAGGTTTACTCTAATGTGGTTCAATTCAGTTTGAGATGTTGAAAGCTGCTTCGACTCGAGCTAAAATTTTCTCTATTTTTTTCGATTCTCCAAAGAACTTATTTTTTCACCATCGGTGACAATCTTATTTAAAAATATACATTTTTGTATGTACAAGAAGTGGAAGACTAGTAGTTAAACAATTATCGATGTTTCTTTTGGTAAGTTGATGTTCTTTGAATTTTTATTAAGGCTTATAAACAACGTACTACAAAAGAGTGTTTGCTCAAAAGCTGATTTAAATTCATGATTTGCTTAAAACAATAGACATCATGCTTGCAATATGGTATAAAACAAATATTTGTACATAAAATATGCATAATTTGGTATTCAAAGCATGTTTCAATTACAAACATAATATTTTGGGATATAAACGATAGTGCATATATAATGTATCGCTATTCATATCCTCTCCTTCCCTGATCTATGGATGAAAGATGAAGGAAACTCTGATTCTAAACGCGAGTAAATTAAATTCGTTATCCCTGAGAGACAGTCAATGAAGGAGAAAGTAATTCTGATATAACACCTATGATCTGAAGCCATCTCTGTTATCGTCACCATATAAAAACCAATTGCGCAGGAATGAAGGCTATAAAACCATCTGCGTTTGAGCAGTCAACTCAAGAAAAGCGAAGATATTCAGGGCCTTAATAATCCCAGCACTGTTCTGACTGTGAGATGATTCAGACCATCCTCGGATTTATTGTGACTGAATTATAATTCTCTTTCCTTTACGCGGATATATCTGACATTCTAAGTGCTCCATCGACTATGGATCGTCACATTAATATTCAAGAGAAACATTGTTTAAATTTCATCAGTGTTGTTGTTCACTAAGTGTTCGTGGACATCTTGGGTGACAGACGTCAATCGCCTTATGTCACTCTGGTTGAATCTCTTGTTTATGGGTCGATTGCAATCGCTTTCATTTCCGTGTCTAAGTCACAGCACTTAAGGACATTTCAAATTGGCTGGTGGCCACACAAACACATTAAAGTCTTAGACATAATCTTTTAAGGTCTTCCAAAATGAATCAGGGACTAAGAGCATATGGAATCCATACGTGCAAAGTAGAAGATTAATCTGTATTTATGTACAAACGAAATTCTTAACAAATGAAGTAATTATTCGTTCATATTTTAACCCAGTCTCTCCCACTCCTATCTATCTATCTATCTATCTATCTATCTATCTATCTATCTATCTATCTATCTCTATCTATCTATCTATGGAACAACTGTAGCATGTTGCAAACTCCATGTAAAGTCGCACAGTCGGTGTAATTAATTAATATTATTGTTATTAAATTTAAGACTTCAGTTTATATAGATATAAATATTTACGTATTCTTCGACATTGTAATATTTATTTACATATAAATACACACAAAATTGAATGCACGTGTATGTATGCATATATATATATATATATATATATATATATATATATATATATATATATATATATATCATTTTAAGAGATTATAATAAAACATTTTAAAACATTGTAAAATGTTTTATAATCTCTTGTATTTATTTATCCTGATGATGACATTGTGCTAATGTCGAAAGTACTCGAAATAAGCAATATGTATCAACACGGTATTTTTCGCTTTTCATTTAATAATGACAACAGAAAGCTTGTCCGTCAATATGAAAATCTCAATTTGAAAATGAGTAGACAAAACTTGTCAAAATTATTCAATGGCACATTTCCATATATATATATATATATATATATATATATATATATATATATATATATATATATTTGGTGTTGGTGTGTTTATATATTCTTTTATCCGTTTTCAATATCAGGTAAAACTAATGTTGTGATTGTCGATTTACTTAAAGCATCGCAATTTTCTTCAAGCTCAGTATGTCTTCAATGGTATTGGTATGAATAACATCACAATCAAAATCGAATAAAATTAATTTGAAATATAAATAAAAAATTAAAATTAATTTACAGACCCAAAGACAAATTCCATTTCCGCTAGCTACACGGACCTATGTTTCTCGGAAGATTGAAGATACTTTATTTCTTGACTATCTCTTTATAAGTGAGTCAGACGAAACAAGGTCTAGCTAAACTATACATCCTTACAACAATGTGAACAATCACATCAAGACTAAATACAAATCGGTTACCTAAATCTAATGAAATTAGTTTCAAATGTCAAAATTTAGAATCAAAGAAAATATAAATGAATAAATTTATAAAAGTGAAAGCGTCTTTGTCTATATATCGTGTCCCTTAATGATGTAGACATCATGGCTCTCTGCAAACTCCTATCACTTGCACATCTTAGCAGTAGTCCGTCCTGCCATTCATTCACCTAATTCTTTCAGGTTCATTGCATTTATCCATTTTGCTTTTGATATATCCTGTGCTTGTCAAAATTCCCACAGCTTCCTTCCTCATTATGGGGACAAGATGTTTTAGCTGTTACATTCTGATTCTGAGTAGAAGCATTCTGTTTATTCTCATTGTCCTTAAGACTTCCACGTGCGTACACGCTCCGATCATAGTATCCTCATCATCATTCTGTAGAACGACATGTCTTTTGCATTAAATAAATAAAATAATTAGGACATAACTGAAATTAGCATTCAACTATGCTGACTATTCATAACCGAAAGAACTGGAAAGAGAAGCCATATTTGTCACAACGTTTCGGCCGTTGTACGCTCCGGCCTTCTTCAGGTGGTTGGAATTTCGAACTGAACCCTTTATTTCGATCGCTGGGGCAGACTGTTCTAATTCCACGTGCCATGTTTGATGGATGTCAGTTATCAGTTATCTCCTGCTAATTTTTCCCTCTGAAAGTTCTCCACTGCCTTAACCAGGAATTGAACTCACCTTCTTTGGGTCTGTCACTGGATCTAACCAACGCCTTTATCCACTGTGCCATGTGTCCATCTGGGTATGAACTTCTGAGTATTATAAACCTAATGTTTTCAGCATCATTTTTACCAGTGCTCATATTGCAATTTTTTTGCTGTTATCATTGGAACCAGTAATAAGGAGTGCCAGAGAAAAGCAATGATAACAAAGTTGCAATATGAACTCTGGTAAAGACATGCAATGATAACAGCAAAAAAATTGCAATATGAGCACAGGTAAAAATGATGCTGAAAACGGCCGAAACGTACAACGGCCGAAATGTGGCGACAAAGATGAGGACAATAGTCCGACTAATGTAAATACTGTACATAATACCTCATCTCAGAAATATAGACAAACTCTGGAAAGAGAAGGTTTTGGCGTTCTCAGATTTTCATTAATTCGTCAGTGACCTACATAGAGAGTTATCGCGCAAGGAACAATGACTATCTATCTATCTTCTCCCAGTGTAATTCTATCTCAGTTACTATCTTAGTCTGTCTTTTCATAACTATATATCCCATTCTGTTAATATCTATCTATTTCATTTTGCTCATATCTATCTATCACATTTTGCTCATATCTATCTATCTATCTATCTATCTATCTGTCATTCTGCTCATATATACCTATCTATCTAACAAATATATATTCACTTATCCTGGGTAAGACGTTAAACTACCATCTGCGTCCTGGGTAAGACGATAAACTACATCCAGCAGGAAGACCTCTGATCAGAAGGTTTTGCGGAGCGTGGAACCACCTCTTAATTGCTGGCGTTCCCAGGTCCACCCTGACCCAGGGTGGTAGCACCTATTAAGGTCCCAGCTATGGGCAAAGAGTTAACAATTACCAGCAATACTTTTTTGAAAAAAATTATTACCAGCAATATGATTTTGAAGAAAAAATGTTACCAGAAACAGATTTTTGACAAAACAAAATATTACCAACAATAAAAAATTGTCGGCATTAAATAACCCATTGAGGTTGATATGCCGTAAAACAAAATAAACCAAATCAATCTAAACCAAAGAATACATATTCTATTCATGCGAATCTGTCCTTAAAATGTTGTCGGCATTAAATAACCCATTGAGGTTGATATGCCGTAAAATAAACCAAATCAAATAAACCAAACCAAATATATATTCACATACACCTATGATATAATGGTATTCACTTCTTTACATGAATACTGGAAAACATATAACAACGGTATAGTAAAAATGTTAGATTGCTACAGACACTGAATCTGTCAAAGTCAGATACATATTCAGGCTCAGAGATGCACTCCTATATTGCATTATAAGACTGTGCATTTCTTCCGAAAATGTACAATATCTGTCTTGCCAATCGAAAACCAAGATGGACGCATTAGCCTTTCATAGATTTATATTCAATATATGTTCCTATATTTAACTGGCAAAAGTAGATATTTAAAACAGAATGAGTTTCCAACATAAATGGAATTCACATGGAGATATAACTAAGATTTGTTTATTTTTATTTCTCTCTTTTTTCTGTCTATTTCTAGTCCCCTCCCTCTTTGTATATATTCTCTCTGCTCAATTTATCTATTTGCATTTAATATATCTTTCTATCCAATTCATTTTCTTTAATATTGTCCCCACATTCGATTTTCTATCTATCTATCTATCTATCTATCTATCTATCTATCTATCTGAATCTCTTTATAATCTATCTATTTATCTGGACCTCTTTATAATCGATCTATCTATTTATCAGAACCTCTTTATAATCTATCTATCTATCTATCTATCTATCTATCTATCTATCTATCTATCTATCTATCTATTACAATTTTCTATTATTATATCTACCTCATTCGCTTTATTTTATAGATATATCTACTGTATGCGTGTATATGCCAGAGAGATTGACCTCATTTATGAATGATCAGAAAGATGCGACTGCTATCATGTGTAAGGAAATAAGTATCGTTTCGCATATGTGTATAGCTATATAATGTGTACAGGGATACGCTCATCTGCCTGTATAGTAATGAATCGAGCAAGTTTTTTGGTACTTATGTGCATTAAAATATAACGCAAATAATAATAGTGAGAGGGAAAGAAATGAATACAAATAGATGCATACGAGAGTTAAAGTTCAATACCACAGTCCATCTTCTTAAAGATAGACACAGATAAAGAAGGACATGTTATTTTATTTTTTCTTTCTCAGCCTTCTTACTTTTTCTTTCTCATAGTTTTAATCTATCTACTTACTTATCTATCTATATAATTGAACAATTTTATTTGATATTCATTCTGTCTCTGTCTGTCTGTCTGTCTGCCTGTCTCTCTCTCTCTCTCTCTATATATATATATATATATATATATATATATATATAGTCATTCACAGAGACTGTTTGGCATCAGTCGGAGATTTTACCCCTGAGTATCAGTGCCCGGTTGAAAGGAAGGCTAATTTCTATGTACCTATTCGTCGAATAAACACGCCAATGACCGAGAGGGCTCAATTCATGGAAGAGCTTTGTATATATATATATATATATATATATATATATATATATATATGTGTGTGTGTGTGTGTGTGTGTGTGTGTGTGTGTGTGTGTGTGTATATATATATATACATATACACACACACACACACACACACACACATATATATATATATATATATATATATATATATATATATATATATATATATATATATCACAATCTGTATATCTACTCTTCTTTCTCAATGTCTTCATTTCCTTACTCCTATTTTTTGTATCTCTCAGAGTTCCTATCTCTTTGTCTATTAACAATAACAGCGAAAGCATGAAGCCTGAAAGTTTAATAATTCGAAGGTCTCTTCAATAAGCAATTACCAAATGTTTCAAATCCATCTAATATTTAATATACGTTTTTTTTCCGAAAGAACAGATATTAAGTAAATTTTCTTAATAGTGAACAACTCTTTAAGAAAAAATAAATACTTAAGATGATTTCTAGAAATAAATTCTTTTTCACAATCCAAGTGTGGATGCAATTGCCGCGAAAATCAAATCAGTGATTAGATAATTGAACAAATATTTTTTTTCTTACTATCTATCTATAGATTTACTTTTTCAATTTATTCTTTCTTTTCTTTTTTTAAAACCCGACAGATTTGGCATCAGTCGGAGTTTCTACTCCTGAGCTATCAGCGTACAGCAGGGGGGTAAATGAACTTTAGCATATTATGTTTTACGAATGTAAACAAACGCCACACAGCCATAGTGCTCGATTCAATTTTAATGAAATCGTAGGTTTATATATATATATATATATATATATATATTGCGTATTTTGGGCAGTATATTTTCATTAAGACATGTCTCATTAAATAATTTAGACAAGTTTTTGTCTAAATATTCTATTGTCTAATTATTCTTAATAGGATCTTCTCATATTATAATTGTAAGTTTCTTTCTTCCTTTAATAAGAATACTAAGAAACTGGTCCGTATTAATGAGAGAAAGTTCAATTTCAAGTGGGAAGTAATCGACCACAACTGTCAGTTTCATGCGCATTGACTCAAACATTAGGGATATTTATTGTCAGATTATATACAAATGTGTCACATAACCAAAAATGAGGATGGGGTGGGCTGGTCTTCATCTGACTTAAACTTAAACTTAGTTATCCACAATCACTGACCCAAACATGCTAGAATAATACTTGCACCAAAATAAGACATTCTTCAATACCATTCTTACTGCATCCATGATAATAACTCAGTGACTCTATGATGCCCTTACTAATTCCCATATGTACAATTTGTGAGTGTGGGGAGGAGAGAGACTTTTAAAAATTTAACCTCATTGGATATTTATGAAAACAAAATTATCTACAGGTAAAAAAGAAAAAAAGTGTTAGTAATAAACACCTCAACAATCCTTAAATATGACAGAAAGATCCGTTAACAAGACGACATAAATGTGGCACTTGGGATAATCCAAACAATCATTCAACTGGACACTCACACAAACCAAGCTAATCTATACACAACAACAAAGACGAAAAACACACGCGGAAATCAAAAAGCGTTCCGGATCCACCAGAGAATAACCACCTAACTGAGGAGGGGAGGGTAAATTAAACTAAAGAAAGAAGAACAAAAATGAAAATTTGGGGTGGGAGCAATGAGCATGCATCCCTCAGTTAAGCTAACTTTGCAGAAAAATGAATTAAATGAAAACAATCATAAACTAGACTATTTTGTTGCCAATGTCCAAACCAGAATTGCAAATATCCTTAAATGCCTATGGTCGGGCTGATGACACCAACGACATCTCCCATTGACAGTTGGCACTTCTCATTCTTAAAAGTACCGTTAGAGGAGAGTCCTCCATACAATGAACGGCTGTTTCAGTCCCACCTACAGCCAATCATTTGGAGATGGAGAGGAAAGCTTTATTTCGAATCTCCATCCACCGATCAGGTTATTGCAAATCGCACAGATTATCTGGCCATTCTGCAGTAAGAAAAACGGCTAGATGTTCCCCAATAACTTGAGTAGTGACCTTGAATATCGATAGTTGCGGGGCTTATCTTCATATTCTGTTCTTAAAATCCGATATTTAGTGATAAGATATCGACTGGTCATTTCAACAGTCTTCTGCCGCGGGGAGCAATACGCTACACATAGAAAAAAAGCCCATTGCTTGAGTATCATTTATCGCTTAACCCCCAGGGAGTTTTATCATTGTGTCTATCGTGAAGAGACTAATTTTGCACAAACGCTTGTCAAGCACGAAATCTGACACGATTCTTTTCTCAGTTTTATAATTTCTTGGAGATCTACCAAGAGTCCACCTTCTTTTATAAGGTGACTGTAACGCTTGACTCACTTCAGATTTTACGCAATATTGACTATACATTTAGGTAGAGACATCCATCAAAAGAGCATTTTCCTTCTATTATTCAGGATGAATAGTATGGTCCTCCATACCTTTTTCATTTGAATGCTGTTCATTTACTTTACATTCCCTTTTTCCTTTATTGACCTCCATACTTATTCCAAGAGCAAGGTAATCCACTGCGATGTCTTTATCTACGGGATCACTTTTAGAAGTCGCCCAAAGTAAGTCTTTGAAAACAGACCGACTGCTGTCAGCTATATTCGTTTTTATCCGTAAAAGACCCACAGGATTTTATATTTTTGCATTTATAAAATTATACAGAAGTAGGGATGGCAACTGGTCTACCGGAGAAAGAAATGGTAACCTACTACGGGGAAATAAATCTGCCTCGTCAGTCATATATCGAAAGATACATGATCGCCTAAGCGTGTATCTCACATGACACATAACTGATATATATATATATATATATTGTGCAATTTTTGTTTTTTTTTACTTCTCATTCTGTTCAATAATTTGCTTCTTTTTTTCTCTCTCCCTCTCTCTCTCTCAGTCTTCCATTCTATCTATCTATTATATATGCGATTCAGTTAGAGGAAATGAAATGAATAAATTCTTCAGAAAAATGAGATTCTGATTTCGCCTGAAACAAAAGGAGAAGATAAGAGCAAACAATGTAATAATATATCCACTATACACAATTAATGACGCATGACAATGCCTTGATGAATATGCTTACACAGAATGCGTGCTTAGCGCTAGAAAAACACTTTTTCTTGAAGAAAATTCACGCATGCAGACAGACAGACAGACACACACACACACACACACACACACATATATATATATATATATATATATATATATATATATATATATATATACTTAAGTGTGTGTATGTGTGTAAAATCATGTATGGATGCTAAAATAGGCTTTCGCATCCATCCATCTATCCCTCCATAATTCTTCGTATAGATTTACATGCATGTATATACTAAATTTATTAACTTCCCAAAATACAGGATGGCGCCACTGTACTTAATCTGTGTCCCTAATATTTTCGAATTTTTTTGCCCTTTACTTTTGGATCGTTTTAAGTGAAGTCTGTTATAGTAACAGGTGACAGGACACGAACTGACAGAGTGAAAGCGCGCCATCTTGTATAAGAAGTGAACAGGATCGTTCGCTTATCTTTTTTTTAAGTGACGGCAAAAAGAGAAAGAGAGTAAAGCACTTAAGATTTTCAGATGCACATTCGTGTCTTATTGATCGTCTCATGGTGACATCAGTTCGAGAAGTTTTGCCTATGGTGAGTAAACTCGTCCTGTGAAGGTCTGCGTCAAATAAATAAATACACGGAGTATGGAATAAAAAAAAAACCCAAAAAATACGATTAAATAAAATATTAATAGAGAGATGAAAGAGAAGGAAAGAAAACCAAACTACTAAGGAAAAATCTGAGGAAAGAGCAAGCGTAATACAAAAGAAAAGAGAAAATATTGAAATGAAGAAAGTCAAAGAAAATATAGAACATTACGAGAAAAAGGTTAAATCTATGAGAGGGGAGAAGGTAGAGGAAGGCAAGCAAATAAAAAGTAAACCGAATATATATATATATATATATATATATATATATATATATATATATATATATATATAAGTTTAATAGTCATAGTTAAATCAAACCAGGAAAGAGTAGTATTAAAAAGTGCTCAATACGTGTGAAAAAATAAAGTAAAAATAACATGTAGAGCTTTTAACTCAAAAAGTCAGGAGGTCAGTTGAATCCGTGACCTTGGTTTCAACCTTACGGTATCCTCAGATGATTTTTATCAAATGACCTTGTAACGCTTTATTTAAAAAAAAAACAAAAAAAAAAAAAAAAAATAACTAATGAACGCTATATTATCTTTTTTCAATAAATAAAAAAACGCACGACGTTGGGATTGATAGAAAGCAAGGAGTAGGATGTGAAGAAGAAAAAGAAGAAGAAGAAGAAGAAGGGAAGAAGAAGGTGGGAAGAAGTGAAAAGCAAGGTATTGTTAATATATCGGTGGGAAGTTAATTGAAATGTACTTTTTTATCCCTCCTCATATGTGCTTAATATTTCCTAATATGCAAGCAGGGACTCAAAACTTCGATATATATATATATATATATATATATATATATATATATATATATATATATATATATATAGTCATCTACAGACAGACTGTTTCGGTGTATTAAATCTCATCAGTGTGGCTAGACATACGATTGCTTCAAGCCGGGATCAACGTCACACGTCAAGGATTAAGCGAAATTTTAATGTTTTTTTAATATACGAAAGACGTCAGTGGCTAGGAGAGCTCGATTCTAGTTGAAGAACCTTGCATTAGGAG